CATGACCTCCTACCTGGCCCCACCTCCAACATTGGGGATTGAATTTTAACATGAGATTTGGAGGGGACAAATATCCAAACTATACCAATCTTCTTACATGGATTTTAAACCTACATCAGTGGCTGTTTCCTCAACATTTGAAAACTACAGATACTTATTAGAAAATAAGCATTTCATCCTTCCAGGTCATGGGTCTTACCTTCCTCTTCCACAACAATACTCATTCCCTCATGTTATCCTGATCAATGAAACAATTTCACCTATTTTTCAGAGAAGCAGCTGTTTTACTACAAAGCAGGAATTGTGAGGGATGAGGGAGCACTGTTACACCCTATTGGTGAGAATATAAAGGAAAACTGCCTAGTTTTGAATCCTGCTTCTACTTTTTATAAACTTGGACAGGTAACTGATATCTTCTTTGACTAGTTTTCTCATTTGTAAATGAAGATAACAATGGTGTCTACTCATAAGTTATTGTGAGAATTAGATAAGAAAATACATATGAAGCATATTTGTCTGACATATAATAAGCACTCTAAAATTTATGCAATGATGAAGCATAATGATCATAAATAATCTGAAGAAAGAAAATGTACATCCAAAGAAAAAATGTACATTTCCTTTGAGTGAGCACTGCTGACTCTAGGAATGTGTCCTAAGGAAAGAATAAGTCAAATGTTTAAATGTGTATGAGACTATTAATTGCAGTGCTGGTCTTAACAGTAAAAAATTAGAAATGACTTATATATTCATGATGAGAGGTTAATGAAATAAATGATGGTACATCCATACAGTGGAAAATTTTGGAGACAAAATAGTAAAATAGTTATGGATATAGGCTTTGAATATAAATTTCTATGAGCTCAGGCTTCCCTCATCTTTCTTAGAACATCCTGAGTTGTTCCCAGACCATTCTTCCTTGCTTTTCACTTGTATCAGTCAGCCATGCTTTATAACAATCTTCCAATCTCACCAACATACAACAGGAAGCATTTAGTTCTCACTCACAAATTTGTAGGGCACCTCTACTTCAACCTACAATGGCTAGGACAGCTCTGCTTCACACTATGGCCAGCTAGCCAGAGAATGTTATTGTCATGCCAATCGCAGAAGCACAAGAGGATGAAAAAAAAATGTGTGAAGCTTCCTAAATTCTAAGTTCAAAATTAGCACAATTTTGTTTCCAACCACATTTCATTGGCCAATGAAAGTCATGTGGATGAGCCACAGTCAAGAGTCGGGGAGGTACCCTCAGCCTCTCATGAAGCTGTGGAGATAGTGTAGATTCAGGGAGGGGTGAGAAATTGGGGCCAGTAATTCAATCTACAGCCTTATTTGCCATCATTTTTATTCTCTGCCAGTGAGATTGCTACCCAGGTCTCTGTGCATCCACTGAACTCATCCTAGTTTCTGTTTAACTCTCTTTCTCTTTTAACAAAATACCTAAAAATCTCTTTATAGCTTTATAAAGAGCATCAGAAACCTCAGGAACCAACTTACTTTGGTGGCACAGAGCTTTCCACATGTACTCTGAAACTCCCTTCTTGGGGATATTTCTACCTTTTGATTTAGCAGAAAAACCACCCCAAATTCATAATTTATTTCAGGAAGAGGGCTTTTTTTTTTTTTTTAACCAAAATGGAAGAGTGATGCTGTCTATATTCCCCAGAGGAATAGAAGCTGGTTTGTATTAGGGGCACTCTTATAGATGAGTAACGCTTCATATGCCTTATAGAAGCTGATATCTATTCCTCTGTATTTAAATGATCAAGTTTTGGAGGCATTAGCCAGGCCTTGAACCAATTATAAAAGTGGAGTTTTGCCATAGGCTAGCCCTAAGAAACAGAAATGGTTAGAGGGACAATATAATCAGAATAGAATGTGAATAAAACTTTATCCCTTTCTCTGGATTCTGAGAGTTCATAACCCAAAAACCAGATCTTCAAACTGAGAGAGATGAGCTAAGAGATATGAGATATAAGAAATATGCTTAAAAGCATATGTCGAGAATTAGGGATGTATTTCCCAGAAAAGGAAGATGATGAATGTGGTCAGAAGAGACAATTTCCTTCCTCTTTTCTAATCTTGGCTCCAGCGCCCCCAGCTGAACCTCTTCAATGTCTCGCAGGTTACAGATTTCACTGCTCCCATCAGCTTGGAGACAAACATGTGGCTCTTGATAGCTCTACTCCTTTGGGGTAAGTTGGGCTTATAGGGGGTGGCTCTAGCTTTGGGAAGTCAAGGTTTTGTCTTCCTTTGGTATGTTTGGCTAGAACTCGTGAGTATAGAGACAACTGTATCTGTGATTTCATGGTTTATTGGTGTTTATTATATCAAAAGGATGAGACAGAAACCCTGAAGTAACATTAAACCTGGAAGCCCCATACCAAAATAAAGCCTCATCAACAACAGCCTTTGGTGACTCAGTTCTGCTAATACCTGATTTGGGGGAAGGGAGATAGAAACTCAAGAGATCTAAGCTGACCTCTCAGAGTCTACATTAATGCTGTCTCCCCAGTTCTCCCTTCCTCAGCATCTCCCACTGACCAACCGATATCCCTATTCTCTGTTCTCTTGCAGTTCCAGCTGGGGGACAAGTGGGTGAGTGATCTCTAACTCGACTTCTCCTATGCCACTTTCCTACTTCTACATGATGGCTCCTATTAACTTGAAGAAGAGTGTATAGAGAGAGGATAGAAAGGAGAAAGATTTATAAATTATGTAAAATCTCCCATATTCAGAGTGTGATGTTGATAAAACCTTGACTTTTAAGGTTTCTTTCTAAGGCTTACTGAATGAGCCCTGACCTCTGAACTAAATGCCTAAATGTATTTACAATAGCAGGAATGGGCCAGAATTGCAAAAATCCAGAAGTAGTTCATCTGGGTTTTCCAACATCCCTTACACCAGTTGCTTTACAAGAAAGCTGAGTAATTTTATTCTCCTCAGAAAGAGCCAGGCAAGTACTGAAGACTTCAGAGGAAGGAGTTGAACCTCCATTTCCAATGCAGAAGCCAATGAAAATCTGTGCTTTACCCTCAGAGACAGGATAGTACAAAGGATAAGGAAACCAGCTCCAGTCAGTTTGCCCCACTTTACAACGTAAAAGCTTTATTGTTTATCAACAGGGAGATCTAAATCAGTAATTTAATCCTCAGGAGCCAAAATCCCCAAAATCCAGATGAGGATTTAATAACATGAACAGAGCTCTCTGAAGCAGGGTTTGAACAACTCTTAAAAGCTGGTTTCTGTTGGTTCCCATTTGCCTAGTTTTCAAGCTAACCTAAATATGCATTTTTTTCCCCTTATGCTATCCACAAAACCTTAACAATCACTCAGAGTCCTTCCTCTTACTTCACTTGGTCTATTTTATTATTATTATTTCCAAGCAGACACCACACAGGCAGTGATTACCTTGCAGCCTCCATGGACCAGTGTGTTCCAGAAGGAAAATATAACCTTATGGTGTGAGGGGCCCCGTCTGCCTAGGGACAACTCCACGCAGTGGTTTCACAACGGCACAGCCATTCAGACCTTGACCTCCAGATACAGCATCCTTTCTGCCAGTGTCAATGACAGTGGTGAATACAGGTGCCAGACAGGTCTCTCAGTGCCAAGTGACCCTGTACATCTGGAGATCCACAGAGGTAAGTATGGCATGGAGCAGAAGGGCTGGAAATCACAAGGTCTTCCTTTGTGGTTTCTCCTTTTTGGATGTCAGATGTGTGTGTCAATTTATCTGAGTACGAGTCTCAGCTCTATGTGCCTATCAGGGGAAATTAAGTCAATATACTTAAAACATCATATCAGAATCCAACAGTGGTGTACCAACAGCACCCCAACTGGGCCAGCTATGAGTAGGGTGTCTAGAGAAAGACTCAGATCCAAAGATGTTATCATTATTCAAAATGTATGTCTGCACATCAGAAATAATAATAATTCAGACAAACATGCAGTGATGAACAATAAAAAATCTTCTTCTCACCCCAAAACCCTAGTCCTACAGTCACCTTTCACAGAAACAAAACTGTAAATATATATAAACTTTTTTAAAAACTACAGTTGATAGAATACTCTGTATATATTATCCTACATCATACTTTTATCATTTAAAATATCTTGGAGGTCCATTTATATCAATAGATGTCTACTTATAAATGTCTACTGTATGGCTGGACCAGAATTAATTTAACCATTCTGCCTATTAGTAAGCTTCTAAGGTGTTTACATTCTTTTGCTTTTACAAGCAATGCTGCAGTAAACATTATTCATATAGTCTGGGGCACATTTCATGGTATATATGTAAGATGATATTCTGGACATGGAATTACTGTGAGATTTAAATGAATAGAAGCAAAACAAAAAACCACTACCCACTTAAATCTGTAAGCAGTTTCTATTTGTCAAGAGATGAAGACTGCAATATTCTTCAGGGCAAAATATTTCCTTATTCAGGACAAAATACCCAAATGTATTATTTGGTTATTCAGAAGTAATGAGCCCAAACTTCTTTGAAATTGATAATGCAAAAGTTAATCCATACTGGAGGCAGAATAACATTTATGCAGACTTGATTGCTTTTAGAGGAAATATGTTTAGGCTAAGGAAATGTTGAGAATGTCCAAAGAAAGGCTTAATGTTATTCATGTGTCTCTTAGGACTCTGGAAGTAAGTTCTTAGGATGGAGCTGACAGAGCAGCTCCTACAAGACACAGTGTAGTTCAAGCAAAAGAAATATTTCATGGTTCAAGTGACAAAAAATAGACTAGGACTGAGAAGAGGCCCCTTTCCTTGCCTCCGCACAGATTCTAGAGTACCTAGTGTTGGTGACTTACCGAGAACAGTATCTTCTTTGCATTACGTTTTAGTGTGAATTTTTATTGAAGTATAACTTACATACAACAAACCGTAAGTGTAAACCTCACTAAATTTTCACAAAGTATACAGCACACAGATCAAGAAATACAACATTCTCAGGACCCAGAAACTCCTTCTTGCCCATTTCTAGGTCACCCGTAACACTGACTTCTAACACCATGGGTTTTTGCCTATTTTTGAACTTCATATAAATGGCTACAGTAAGATACAGGTGGTACTCTTTTGCATCTGGTTTCTTTTTTCAACATTATAATTGTGAAATTCATACGTGTCGTGAAGTTAAAGTTCATTTGTTCTTATTACTGTGTAATGCTACATATTTTTTCTATTCTACTGATTCTTGAGTTGTTTTCAGTTTTCACCTCTTACAGTACTGCTGTGGACATTTTTTTAACATGTTCTTTGGTGCACATATGTATACATATCTGTTGGAAAATGCCTAGTGGTGGAATTGCTGCATCACAAAATAATCAGCTTTAGTAGATAGTGCCAAACAGTTTTTCAAAGCGGTTGTACCAATTTACACTTCCACAGAGTGTGAGAGTTCGCTTGCTCTCCGTCTTCATCAACACTAGGTATTTTCTGTATTTTCATTTTTGCCGTTCCGGTGGATGTGTAGTAATATCACGTTGCAGTTTTAATTTGCATTTCCCTGATGACCATAATGTTGACCATTTTTTATGTTTCTTACCTAGTTGGATATTCTCTTTTGTCAGGTAACTGATCAGGTCTTTTTGACAATTTTTCTACTGTCTGTCTTTTCCTTATTGACTTACAGGAATTCTTTATGTATTCTGGATATGAGTCCTTTTTCAAGTGTTATAAATATCTTCTCCCACTTTGTGCCATGCCTTTTCACTTTCATATTATGGTTTTTTTGGCTTTTTAAAAATATGATGAACAAAACTTCTTAATCTGACTACAGTCCAATACATCAAGCTTTTTGGTTGGTGCTTTCTATACCCAATTTAAAAATGTTTTGCCCCAGTTAGTCAGCAGTGGAGGGTTCAATTGCAGCTACACTGACTCTCAGTAACTTCAATTTAATCTGTGTATGCTGAGATCAAGAAAATATAGCTAGTTGGTGGACCCAAGTCCTAATCATATGACTTAGAATGAATGTCCCTTTCCCACTCCAAGGTCGTGAAGATGGGAGAATGGCTTTTGAATAGGAAATTAGCAATGTCTGCTAAAAGCTGCATCCCATGAGTTTTGATATATAATACATTATCATTTAAGGTTAAAATTTTTAAATTTTAATTGTTTTACTCATGAATTATTTAGAAGTGTTTTGGAGGGTGGCTTTTTGTTATTAATTTATAATTTTATGGCATTTTGGTCAGAATTTGTGTTAAATATGGTGTCAGTTCCTTGGTATTTGTTGAAAATTGCTTTGTGGCCTAGTACACACTCAATTTTTATAACTGTTACATGTGTGTTTGAAAAATACATGACTTTTCTCTTTCTAAGGTATAGCATTCCACAAAATCAAGCCTATTAATTGTGTCACTCAAATATTTTCTATCATTACTAGTGTTTTGATGGTTTCTGATGGCTCCTAGAGAAACTTGCCTGGTTCCTTTCACAACATGGTAGCTTACTTCTTCAAGGCCAGCAGGAGACTCTAGTCTGCTAAAACAGAGTCTTATATGATACAAGCATAAGAGTGACCTCTCATCACCCTTGTCATTGGCTAGAAGCAAGTCATGGGCTCCACCCACACTCAAAAGGATGATACAAGGAAGTGACTCATTGGGGTCATCTTAGAATTCTGCCTACCACATTGTGTAAACTGTCTTCGTTCCAACCAACTTGTGAGATCAGCAAAGGAAAGATAGGAAGGGGCTATGTGCACAGTTGCTGGTAAAGATTACTTTTCTTTCCACCAAAGCTAAAGATGTTTGAGGAGGCGGGCATAGGCTTCAGATGTAGCAGAGCTCTGAGGTTGGAATGTTGCAAGGACAAAAAAATAAGAAAATCCCCAGGGCCAAGCTTTGGGCTCCTTGTACCTCCTCCATTGTATACATACATTTTTGTCCACATTTTTCAGATTGGCTACTACTCCAGGTCTCTAGCAGAGTCTTCACTGAAGGAGAACCTCTGGCCTTGAGGTGTCATGGATGGAAGAATAAGCTGGTGTACAATGTGATTTTCTATCAAAATGGCAAAGCCTTGAAGTTTTTTCCTCGGAATTCTGAACTCACCATTCTGAAAACCAACATGAGTCACAATGGCATCTATCACTGCTCAGGCATGGGAAGGCATCACTACACATCAGCAGGAGTATCTGTTACTGTGAAAGGTATTGTATCTGAAAAGTCACAGAGCTAAAGTCATAAGGACCAGAGGGACCATCATAAATCATCTAAAATCCTCACTTTGATTTACAAGTGAAGAAACTGAGCTCTAGAAAGGTAAACTGCCTTTCTGAAGGCCACACAGTGACCAGTGGCTGGACTGGGACCAGAAGTGAATTCTTAGGGCCCAAGTCAATTGCTCTTTCCAATATACCACAATGCTTCTTCAATAATCACAGGAGCTAATGTCAAAGTCAGGCCATAGTGGAGATCCAGTTAATCAATTTTATTTTAGTTGTAAGGAATAGAGATTCGCTTTAGGTAGCTAAGAGAGTTACTAGAAAATAATGCAATGGAATCTCATGAAAGCACCACAGATGTAGAAACAAGGAAGATTTTAGGAACTGGTTATACTTTCCATCTATCTCTCAAGGACAATGTGATCTCTCTGGTCCCACTTCTTTCTAAGCATCTGCAAATTAGACAACTTCCTTTGTTCCAGTTTGCACATGGCCTTGTTCTGACTCTTCCACTCTTTCCTCTTAGTACTCGCAACGGGTAGCCACCTTTTTCTGTCTGAAAAAAAAGTTCATTCCTGAATAAAATTATTGTCCCGAATTACTTTTTGAATCAGGAACACAAGTAACGAGTTGCTGAACTGTCAAGTGTATGGGTCAGTGTTCGCTCCTGGTTGACCATTGCCAAAAGGTCATGATCATATAATAGATCGATCATGTGACCACTCAGGGAAGCATGGACCATGTAGGAGTATTTTCCTCAATAGGACTGAGCTAGCTGGCAACTGTTATTATGTCTATTAGGAAAGCTTAAGAATGTCTCTCTGCTGGAAGTGGGGAAAGTTATGCCTTATGATGCCTTCTCCAGGGGCAAGTTTTCCTAGGGGGAAAAAGGGGTCTCTTTTGTAAAAAGAACCTTGACACTAAACAGGCAACCCTGTCCCCCATCAACTTTCTCTTTAGAGCTATTCCCACCTCCAGTGCTGACAGCATCCTTGGCGCTCCCACTCCTCGAGGGGAATCTGGTCACCCTGAGCTGTGAAACAAAGTTACTCCCACAGAGGCCTGGTCTGCAGCTCTACTTCTCCTTCTACATGGGCAGCAAGACCCTGAAGCCCAGGAACACGTCCTCAGAATACCAGATATTCACTGCTAGGAGAGAAGATTCTGGGTTATACTGGTGTGAGGCAGCCACCGAAGATGGAAATGTCCTTAAGCGCAGCCCTGAGTTGGAGCTTAAAGTGCTTGGTGAGTGAGAACGATGGGGAGTGACTGGCACAGAAGAAGGGGCTCCCTTTTCTCCAGCTGGACTGAGGTTTGTTAAAGGGTTTCATGGCTCAGCCAGGGGGAGGAAGTCTTTTCAGGAGAAACCCATGAGCAGGCCTTTCTGTCCTTGATTCAGAACGTCACTATTCTCACAAACTTCATTAAATTTTCTTTCCTTTTGTTTCTTTTTTCTTTTCCTTTTCTTCCCCATTGCTTTCCTTCCTTTTGTCCTTCTGTCCTCCTTTTCTTCTCCTTCCTTCTTTTCTTTTCTCCCTCCCTCCTGTCTCCCTGCCACCTCCCTGCCCTCCCTGTGTCTTCTCTCTCTCCCTCTGCTTCCCTCCCTTCCTCTCCCTCACCAACGATCTCATCAATAATATACTGAGTTCCTCATATCTGTTGTCATAGATCTGGCCATATAAAGACACTGGGGTGCAGTTTTTGCTTCGAGGAATTCACATGGTGGATTTATAAGGGTGATTTTGTAAACTGCACATAACTACCTGCCCAAGTGTCTATATCCAACTGAGGTGGGGGGATTGTGAACTCCAGAAAAACAATGCTTTGGGGAAAAATGTTAATCTTCATTTCAAACATTAAAATGCATAGAGATTGTAGTTGTCTCTGAAACTAGGGAGTAAATCTACTGACAGAGCCCTAGCAGTTAAACTATTCCTGGAAATCTGCTCCCTGTCTGTCCACCACACAGCCCAGCTGGAGCTACCTCCAGTTCCTTTCTGCTCCCTGACATTACCAGTGCCTCCTTGGGGACAGGCACATCAGGTCTCAGCCAACCTTCTCTTCCAAACATAACTCAGCCAGATCCCTCTGGTTTCTAAATAGTACCTCTTCTCTCTGTCTTTTTCTGTTTCAGGCCTCCAATCATCCACTCCTGACTGGTTTAAAATCCTTTTCTATCTGACAGTGGGAGTAATGTTTTTAGTGGACACTGTTCTCTGTATGACAATACATAAAAAGCTGCAAAGAAAGAAAAAGTGGAATTTAGCAATCTCTTTGAATGCTGATCATGGGAAGAAGGTAACTTCCTGCCTTCAAAAAGACAGACACCTAGAAGAAGAGCTAAAGTGTCAGGAAAAAGAAGAAGAAAAGCTGCAAGAAAGGACACACCGAAAGAAGCCGAAGGAGGAAGAGCGGCAGCAGCTTACTGTGTAGCCGTGGATCTGCTCGGTCCCCTGCCCCTTCCTCTCTGTGTGAGCACCAGAGCACAACAGCCAAAGACATCAGAACTGTGGGTCTCATGGCGTGTAACCCAAATAAAGCAAAAAAAAAAAAAAAAAAAAAGGGCTGACTTCGACAGAAATAAATTTGGAAATTTGGTAATTAGAGATGATTTGAAATGATGCCTACTCTAAAGAAATCTTTAAACACTTGGAAGTCAAGTGTAGCCTGATTATCCTATTAGGTAGTTTGAAAAATAGTATATTTCTGAGAATAGGATAAAAATGTGAACGTGGGCCGGGCGCGGTGGCTCACGCCTGTAATCCTAGCACTCTGGGAGGCCGAGGCGGGCGGATTGTTTGAGCTCAGGAGTTCGAAACCAGCCTGACCAAGAGCAAGACCCCGTCTCTACTAAAAATACAAAGAAATTAATTGGACAACTAAAAATATATAGAAAAAACTAGCCGGGCATGGTGGCGCATGCCTGTAGTCCCAGCTACTCAGGAGGCTGAGGCAGGAGGATCACTTGAGCCCAGGAGTGTGAGGTTGCTGTGAGCTAGGCTGACGCCACAGCACTCACTCTAGCCCAGGCAAAAGAGTGAGACTGTCTCAAAAAAAAAAAAAAAATGTGAATGTGTACAAGAAATTAAGACCAAGAAACAGAGAAAGAATGAGAAAGAGAGGGAGAAAGAGAAAGAGCGACACAGAGACAGGAGTGGGTGGATTTCAGGGGGACAAGAGGGAATTTCGCAGACTAAAAAGAAGGAAATAGAATTTACAAATGACTTCTGGGGGACTGTTTGAATCAGAGAGCTCACACCTCTGTGTGTTCAGGGTAGTCCTTTTCTTTTTTAGTTTACTAACAGAGAATGTTTCCATACATGTTATAGGGATACAAGGGAGGCACTCATGGTGGGAAATGGGTGCATTGTTCATGCCCTTTCATTTGAGACTTTCTCATAACCTCTCTATTTCCAGAGACAACACAGGCCTTGCCAGTGCCAGTCCCTTGCCACGTAGGAAGGAAGAATGTATCTGCTGCTTTCCCTAATAAATAAACCCAGATATCCAAGCATGATACTGCAAGGGGAAACTTCAAGTGGGAAGAAGCGGTGATAGTATAAAGTCCCAGCTCTTGCCTCTAGAGCTTTACTTTACCCTTCTGATTTTCTGGGTGATTACTCACTAGCTTCAAGAAACACTGCTCTCCCACTTGGGCTATAGTTCGGAGACAAAATGTTTTCCTACTACTCTACAACATAGCTGAGATAAAAAGTGAAATATGTGCCTAAGACTTTACTAAAAGCTTTGAAAAGAACGAAAAGAGTATAGCACACAAAACACATGCTTTTAGATTATTTGATTGACAAAATGTAGCTTATCTTCCAAACAAGGATGCATCCCTGCCCAGTCCCCATCCTGGCTTCCCATGGCAGAGCTCACCTTCAACACCAAGCACCTATCTAGGAGGACCCTCAAGCCACTTGGGACCGGAAGTAGATGCAACAGCTCCTGAGCCCACTGCTTTCCTGTCTGTGGACAATGAACGTGTTCTGCCCTTCACCTTCAGAAAAAAGTGCAATAATTATCATCTCAACAGAAGCACAGCATCTCCAACATTTGTGTTAAAAGAAATGGTCACATATATTAGCAGGAGTTTCGCTGATTGCACATAATTTTCTTATGAACTGGGAAAGCAAGAAAATGAGAATTATAGGGAATGAATCCCATAGGAAAGTGGGACAAAGACCCCCTATAGAGGACTCTAGCTTGAGGAGTTGGAAACTGAAGCAGGAAGTGACATTCATATTCAGAAGAGAGAGCTCTGCTTACCGTCACAGGGCAGACAGAATTTCTGGGAAATGGAACCCTAGGAGTAGAAGGTGGGAGGCCTCACAGATCTAGACAAAGCGCTATGACCTGCTGTGAAACTAGAATATGGCCAGCCATTGCTAAAGCATCACAAAGTGCTTCCTCCTTCCCAATCAGCCCTTTCATGCTTCCTCTTCAGATTTTGCTATGCCCATATCTTTGTCACAATTACTTCTGGTGTGTACTTTAGTGCTTAAATAATTGACTTGATTAAGCCAATTTCTTCTTCGAACAATTTGCATTCCAGTCTACCTTTATTTCTGGCTTATAGCTGTACCAGGGACAGGTTCTTAGAGCCCCCATATTGGGGCCTACCTGCCTGTTACCCAAGCCTCAGGGCTGGGCTGGTCAAAGCCTGGCTCCATTTCATACCTGCTCCCTGGCACTTATCCCTATCTAAGGGCTCACTCCTCTTTATTTTTACTCCAGCCCGTACTGGAAAGACACAAAAATCACTTGACCCTGTTGGAAAGAGAGGCCCAAAGGACCCTGAATCCCTTCCTTTGCTCACCATCCCCCACCTTTGGGGAAAGCCCATATATGTGGGTGGGGAGGGAGGGCTGGTGTCTGTTAACTCCATCTGGGGACAAGGAAACCATCAGAAGGAAAGTAAAAGTCTCTCTAGGTCTGTTCTAGAGACAAACAGGCACTCACAGGGAAACTTTACCTCAGTATCGTTTTTGCAATAACTAAATCCACTTTGTTTTAGACACAAGTGCACTGATCAATTTAGATTCTTCACATCAGTTTTTCAGTTTGAGGAGAGGAGCAAAGCTGAAAAAAATCAAAGAGATGGTTGCTTACCCCAGCCTTTGGAGTAGGAGTCTCGGCGTTATCACTAGGGAAGAGCCATTCTGTTTCTTGTGGCCTGTGTACCACCAATGGTCAGTCCCACATCTCCTCTGCATACCCCAGAGGTCACCTGTAGGCAGTTCTCCCAAATGTCTCAGATTCTCTTGGGGACCCTCTGCTGCACCAGCTGGCATCCAGGGCATGCCAAAAGTCCCAACAAGGCAACAGATGTCCCCCCATCTCAGGATCTGCCCCCACCTTTCCTCCTAACCACTAGGGAAACTAAGTCACAATATAATCCAGTAGGGATTTGATGAGAAAAGAAAAGGACTATAACCCAACAGAGCTACAAAACCTAGCCTATATTTACCCACAGGAGCTTGGAGATGTACACAGGACTAGATTCTAGGGGTACTCAATCAAGGGGGCCAGAAAATAAAGTTGGATAGAGAAAAGTTTATTGACTTGAGAGTTCTCTCCTGAGATACAAGATTTAGCACCATGGCAAAAACCCTAGGAGTTGGTGCCAACTCATTACTAAGATGGTTCCTAGAAGAGTGGAAAAAGTTATGGCCAATACTGAGTGAAGCTGAAATGCTAGTATGATCCTGGAAGACAATGAAGAAAGGGATTAAAAGGCTTAGGGAAGTGGGCATGCTCCCATGAGTATACTTTGTATGGCCAGAAGATCCGCCAGATGATTATGTTTCATGGAAGGGTCTAAAAGAAATACCATTTACCAAGGCAGTAAGGAACATATTGGTGAGAAGGGCATAAGAATTTCTAAAACATTCAATGGTGGCACTCCTATAGCAAGGGCCGATGGTAGAAGGGGAAGTCACAGAATTTGGCTCACTGATAACAATGGGGGTAATAAGATTCTAAACCAATAGAGGCCAGATGCTAATGCTTAACCATCAGAAACCAGGAAATCTCAGTCAGCATAATGACCAGCAAGGTTGGAGTGACATCCAGGAAAGCCTGACCTCCAAAATTATGGAAATGATTACTAGAACATGGAATCCCCATGAGCACAAACAGATTGGCACTCAACAAGAATACTACTGAGTTTATACCAGCAGAAGAAATCAAGAATGGATGACATTGAGGTTAAGGTCAGTTTTCAGACCCAGAACCTATTAACTGAAGAGGTAGCTGGGTGCCCAGGATAAAGGACCCTGAAATACCATGGCAAGTACACAAAGTCATTTAATTCATATAACTCTGCACCGGAGAAAAGGGACTACCCAAACATTTTGTGGAATATTGGATGCAGGGTTTGAGTTGACACTGATACTTGAGAACCAAAGCATCAAATAGTCTTCTTGTTAGAGTGGGGGCCTTTGAGGTCCAAATAATAAGTAGAGTCCTGGCCAAAGTCTGGCTTGCAGTGGGTCCACTCAGTAGTCATTTCCCTGGTCTCTGAACTTATGCTTGGGATTGAAGTACTTGGCAGTTGGCATAACTACCACATTGAGCCCTTAATATGAGGGATAATAGCTATCATAGTGGGGAAGGCCAAGTGGAAGCATCTGAAACTATCCCTCAGCCCTAAACCAAGAAAGCAAATCAAAACCAATATTGTATTACTGGGGTTGATGGCAGAGATGAATGATATTTCTAAAGATCTAAAGCAGTGCTGTTGGGCCAGATGCGGTAGCTCATACCTGTAATCCTAGGAGTTTTGGAGGCCAAGGTGGGAGGATCACTTAAGCCCTGGAGTTAGAGACCTGCCTGAGCAACAAAATAATTTCTCCATCTCTACAAAAAAATTCTTTTTAAGTTTTAGAAGTTAAAAATAACAATAAAGCAGTGCTGTCCAACAGAACTTTCTGCAATGATGGAAATATTCTATATCTGTACTGTCCGATATAGTAGCCATGAGCCATATGTGGTTATTGAACACTTGAAATGTGGCCAGTGTGATTGAGAAACTGAATTTTAAATTTTATTTCATTAATTTGAATTTAAATAGCCACATGTGGCTAGTGACTACCATACTGAACAATGCAAATCTAAAGGATGTAGCAGGATAGAAGTGGGTCCCCATAATGCCTCCTCTATATAATTCCAGTCTGGCCCCTGCAGGAGCCAAATGGATCCTGGAGATGACTGCATGCTCAACTGAGTAGCAGCCCCAGTCATAAATTGTCATGCCAGATGTGGTAGCTTTATCAGAGCAAATTAACATGGCCTCAGGTACATGGTATGTTACCATTGATTTAGTGGATGATCAGCCAGGGGGAGGAAGTCTTTTCAGGAGAAACCCATGAGCAGGCCTTTCTGTCCTTGATTCAGAACGTCACTATTCTCACAAACTTCATTAAATTTTCTTTCCTTTTGTTTCTTTTTTCTTTTCCTTTTCTTCCCCATTGCTTTCCTT